ACTTTATCTTACTCCTCTAAAGCTAACTAGAAATGAATGCAAACATTATACCAATTTTAGGCTTCAGTTCCCCTTTAATCCTCACCCTAACGCTCCTCTCCCACGGATCTAAAACCGTTTGCGTTACAAAACAGCGTCCACTCGTCAGATGTCAGGTGATACCGAGTGTTTCCCCGTTCCTTTTCTTCTTTTACAACCGCACGTTATTATTGCGTATTTACAAGGCTGTTGCCATTTTTCAAAGATCGGTGACCAGATAGTGGCTGTGAATGGCAAGAATATTATGAAATTGAGATATTCGGAGGTAAGCAACTTTTGTAATTATTATCCTCTGTAGTTCAGTGAGATAGCATCGGAGCGAGAAATTGGTTGAGGTTGTTCGGAACACGTTCAGTGTCACCTTTATTGTAGAAGGCCCAAGGTCGCTGGATCTCACTTCCAAGAGTTACAACCTAGAGCCAGCGTTGAATCAGGATCTCGAATATGTTTTCATCCGTGAGCTGTCTGTTAAATGGTAAAATAATTAAAACACTGGTTGTAGGTGATCCTCGTTTATGTTTTATTTGATGAATTGTTTTGCAGGCGGTCTACTTACTTAAGTCTTTTAAGGAATTACAGCTTGTTCTCCGACATAGCAAGGTACTTAAATTCTCGTGTCACTTGCACGCTTAAACTAGAAGTTTAAGCCAAGTATAGCCCAATCTGGATACATGCGTGTCTGTAATTTTTTAAGCTTCTGTCGCAATGTAAAGATTTGCAGTGGCAAACGTTGCGTTCATAAGGGGTCAGTAGGTTCTCTATTGTGCCCCTGTAGTTAGAGTTGGGACCTGGGCAAATGAAAACGTTGCGGCATGAATGGTTTAGTGAAGGTTGAGGTTTCACGGTCAACGACTTAGAAGTGCTGCATTTTCTCATTTGGATGCTAGTCCTCTGAGCTAACCTTTCCACGGCATGTTGTCAGATGTCTCTGTCAGTTTATTAGCACCCATTTCCGCTTTGGGGTGACAAAGTGGGGAGCTTCCTACTCTTAGTGCTCCTGAGTATTGCTAAAGAAGACCATACGACTACCTCAGCCTAAACTTACATTTTAACGCTGGATCCCGTGTATTGTGGCTAAGGTACTTGGCCAGCGCGCTTTTCTTGCCTGAAAATTCCTCTTTCTCCAAACAGGAAGCCGAAAAGTTTATCCTGGATGAAATTCTCAAACAGCAGCAAGACGCTCTTCCAGAATTTGCCATCAAAACACAGCTCCTTACTCGAAAGGCTGAGGAAAAAGAAAGACTGGAGAAAGCCAAAGGACAAATGCACTTTAATCAACTGCTGCGTTCAAAGGAAATAGATGAAGAGGGAAAGGAAAAAGGCAACAACTCTTTGGAGGAAAAAGCAGGTTTGCCATCCATTGAAATTAAGATCACCTAGAATATTCTTTATCCTCTCAGGGAAGAAGGGGGAAAAGAGTTGGAGCTCGCTTTTGGTCCAAATAGTGACATTGGTATTGATTTTAAGATAGTGTTCCTTGCTACAGAATTCGTTTCCGAAGTCGTCTTTACATGGAACAAAATCGAGGTTTCCTTTAGGCAGACGTCTTGGAAAACAGAGTGCGGTCGCTGTTCACCAATTCTTGTATGGAACAAAATCCTCTTATGCACTTGCGTTAAATATATATGTCTGGAGCTTTAGGTTACCACCATTGAGACGGTTTCTCTTATTCAATGTCAAAGTTTTAAACGCCTCTTCCCCATCTGAACTTCTTGTTCACGGCTATAAATTTTACCTTTACTCGATCAATGTTCTCTAATTTGCTTTCTAGGCAACGAAACAGATAAATTTAAGGAGGAAAGCCTCAGCTCTTCTCAACCTGCCTGCAAATCCTCAGAAGTTAACATGACACCAAACAGTGAGAAAAGAGCTGCATTCTCAGAAACGTAAGTATCGAACTGTTTCATAGATGGATAGATGGATAGATAGATAGATAGATAGATAGATAGATAGTTTATTAATAACCGATTTGCAACCAAAAGTTGAATTGTACGATTATTTACAAATTTTAAATATTGATAATTACGTTAAATAGACTAAATGTATTAAAATAGCAATAAGGACACTAAATATATGTTCTAAAAAAACGGTTATTTAAAACCGTTCAAGCCTTAAGGGAATTGAAGGTAATAAAACTATTACGTAAACTGTTCGTCTTAAAAACTGGCTTAAACTTCTGCATATTTCTTAGGTTAAAGGTACATGTGTTGCAAGCAGGAAGAAGCTCATGGAGCTTGTTCTGTTCATTCTGTAAAACATTCTTAAATAGTTTATCAACTAGTTTCTGGCGGCGATCTGAAAGTTTAGTCAGGCCTGATTCAACCAAGGCCTCATTATATGAGCAAAGAGGAAAAATAATGCGCATAGCCCGCTTTTGTACCTCTTCAAGTTCGTTGGAGAGGTACACGGGGAGGCANATATTTGTTTTAAGAACATCAAATTTCCAAGGGGCAACTACCAGACCGATAGTTCCTCGACAGAAACACTCTATTGTTTAATTGGTATTTAAGTGCCTTACTTTAGGCTAGTTTTCACTAACAATGAAGTTTAGAATCTGTGTCGTAGTAAGAAGCTTGTAGTGATATAATTTGTTGAAAATAAAACGTTGAGAATTGGAAGCAGAATACTAAAGTCGCAGGCGACGTCGTCGCATATGATCTGGTGAAAAAGAGGTTTTTCGTGTGAGTGTGTCTACCATATTTGGTTGCGGCAATCAAGTTTTCATCAACACAAGCGACGGAGTCAAAAATAAAATTGTGAGAAAACGAAAAAGCTATGGTTTTTTCAATGTCTCCGAGCTTATGATTCCACTTGCTACTCAGTTTTCCTACTTCAGTCGGTCAGAAACGTTCAAAGGACTCCAAAGTCAGAAACGCTCTAACGACTCCAAGGGAGGGTTCGTTAAAACCTGCTCTTAAAATCACTCACCGACCCGGCCCTACAACGCTTACGAAGCTGCTGCGTGGAGTGCAGAACGCGCCATTTCCCAATATTGGAATAAGGAAGGGAATGGTCCAACTGTTCCATCCGTTTTTTACTGAAGTGTAGCTTGAGTTGAGAGACGGGGAAAAAGTTGTCGTGTTTTATGTTCTGTGGACCAGCTCCTCATTGCAGATGAGTTCCAATCTGATCCACAGTTCGAGATAAGTTTTGACATCTCTACGAGTTATTCTCTGAATTGGCCTCGTAGTACAGAGCTCGGTTTAGGAAAAAAGTACTGCAGCTGGCAGATGTGAATGACTGTTTTGAATGCTGTCGTTTCCTACTCTTACTAGTTTGAAGATGATGTGTTGGAGGGAAGAGAAGCACACTTTTTGTCGATTGAAAAGGTAAGCCATTTTATTTACCGACTGTAAGAGAGAAAGTTTAAGCGTTTATGTGGCTTTGTTTCTTCCAATAACTATTGCACGTAAGACTCACGCGCTCCTCCTCACTATTAGGACACGTCGTTTGCGATTGTCTTGCGCGTACGCGAAAAAGGGATATCTGGGGCAAGGCGACAGGGATATCAGGGATGAGGTTACAGGGATATCAGGGGTGAGATGACAGGGAAATTAGGGGTAAGATTACGGGGATATCAGGGGTGAGATGACAGGGATATCAGGGGTGAGATGATAGGGATATCAGGAGTGAGATGACAGGGATATCAGGGGTAAGATGACAGGGATATTAGGGGTGAGAATACAGGGATATCAGGGGTGAGATGACAGGGATATCAGGGGTGAGATGACAGGGATATCAGGCGTGAGATGACAGGGATATCAGGCGTCAGATGACAGGGATATGAGGGGTCAGAAAACAGGGATATGAGGGGTGAGAATACAGGGATATCAGGGGTGAGATGACAGGGATATCAGGGGTGAGATGACAGGGATATCAGGGGTGAGATGACAGGGAAAGTAGGGGTGAGATTACGGAAAAATCAGGGGTGAGGTTACAATGATATCCGGGACGAGGTTAGGGGGGTATCAGGGGAGGGGTGACAGGAATATCAAGGGTGAGGTTACAGTGATGGACTGACGCAAGTACGCGCTCATGGACGCGATCGGGTTCGAAATGACGATACACCTCCATTCCTTTTGTTTTCTCTTTTCTTGGCATGGAATGTTTAGGTGTCTGAATTGGGTCTAGAGCTAGAGGAGCGTGACGGTGGAATTTTCGTGACAGAAGTTCAAGAACATGGTTGTGTAGCGGTGCATGGTAGGTTTGGTTTATTTCCAAATATTTCATGATTTTGCCTTCCATAGTTGGGATGATGTGGTGTCGGGGCAGCTTTATGCGCAATGAGAAAAGCTTGTGGTATCAAAAGGTGAAGGCAAAAATGTAGCGACCACGATACAACACAAGAGTTCTACTGGTAGCAAACACGCTATAAGGGGAGAAACCGATGAGAATAAACCTGTGACCTTTCCACTTCCCGCTAGATGCTTAACCACTGAGTTGATTGGAGGCTGGTGAAGAGCGAAGCCAAAAGAAATTGCTATGGTCTTGTGTCGTATGTATATGTGACACGCACGCTGTTAGAATTAGCCCATTTGAAGGTGGCGTGCGTGTGTTCAGCACTATAATTATGCTTCATCGTCGGATAAAGATCACGTGCAATCCAGATGTTTTGTGAACTCAATTTGAGAATGCAAACTTAAAGTATCAAGATTTTCAAATCCTCCCAACATCACAATTTTTGTTGTCCTTGTTGTTGTTTTAGCTGTTTTTCTTTGAACCAAATCACTCGTAATCATAAAAAAAAGACTGCTCGTTAGTGCTTTGGTTGGAATTAATCTGACGAAACAGCATCGATCTTTAAACTTACAGTACTTCATACTCATTTGTTTGCCCCTTTTGTACCTTAGGCGGAGTATGCACAGGAGACCAATTGCTAAATGTGGAAGGCACAAGTCTTTTGGGTGTCACTGTGCTGCAAGCGCACGAGGAACTGAACAAGGCTATGAACAGGAACTCGGTAAGTTTTGTGTGATAGTTGGTGGTGACTTTCCTCCGACAGCTGCCGCTTCATAGAAATAGTTAGGGATATAGAAACTTGTAATAAGCTTGAATAATTTGATTGCTTGTTCTCACCAGGAAAATATCGACCTCGTGGTAGCCATTTCTTTGAAGAGAGGGAACCGGCGGCCAATCCTTAGAACCGGTAGCGTAGTGAGAAAACGGGATCCAATCACAGGAGCAGAAGTGTAAGTAGTTTTGATTTAAATACAAATTCCTGAGCCAGAATTTGTAAATTCAGTACGTTCTACCAAAGAGCGAGCAAACTCATTCCATGCATCAAGTTCGAGGTTGTTTTTGAGGGTGGGAGGGAGGGAGGGAGACCGAAGAACCATGGACTCCACCCTGTGTTATGGCCTCAGGTCCGTGCCTCAGTAGTAGAAAGCAAATGTTCACACCACTTATTAATCCTTATACTGGCTTCGCAGCATTATCTGTAGTACAGAAAGGGATGAGAAGGGAATGGACAGGGAAGACTTTGTGGATGTTATTTATGGATTAGTTTTAATGCATGATGGTGTTTCCAAGACAATGAATTTCGTTGTTCCATTTGAAGATTTTTGTTATACTAAACAAATCATTTTGCCCTCCCTCGTCAACGTTTTCTTATTCTTCTTGAGTGCATTTATTTTTATTGTTACTCACATATCTCTGAATTCTTTTCTGCATCAGTTAAAAAAAAAGAACTCATTTTCGTGTGTCGCAGCAAAGAGTCACGTTACTTTCTTGATGCACCACCTCTGCGTAATCGCACACTGAAACTGTTGCATGATGCATTCAGTAAAACCCTAAAGTCTCAAAAAAAGTATGTTTGTTTCGATTTCTTTTAGATACGACACTTGGCTTTGATTCACGCCTTAACTAAATGGAAGGAAAGCTAAATGAAGACAGCTAGACTAATTTCAAATTGAATTTCTCTTTTTATAGCGAATTATTTTGCACGACTTTGACACACCCAAACTCACTTGTAATGTTACAAATGACTGAACTGTTAAAAGCAATAACTGCATTTCTGTCTAGGCTTCATCAAGGTTTTATTTGTGGGAATGCTAAAGAAATTAGCTGCAATTGACACTGGTTACTTTTTTGAAAAGTTAGATAAATCAGGCACTTTGTTCAATTACAAACAGGAAAAGGAACCCAATGTCGTAGGCATATTTAAGATTCATTAATTTGTTCTTATTTATAATTTTACTGAGTTTATTTATTGCAGACAGAGTCCGTAGACAATAGAAGAGTTTCGTTTTCAGTGCTACAAATAACATGTCAAGGTTTCAGTGGTTTAGAGAGAACCTTTACCCTTTGAGCTTTTAGAGTGACTGGCATCTAATTTCTCCTTACAATATCACCCTGAATCACACATTAAAGAAACGATGCTAAGGGAAATTATTACTATCTAAAGTAGCTCGTGATTGTTAATTGAATTTTCCTTGTCAGCACCGCAGGAAACGTTTGATACCAGTATGGAGAATATGCATACTGATGTTTGGGTGTGAAGGGGTTAAATTGAAATATGTAAGAATAACGGTATTACCTGTCGTAACCCTTTTACATATTGAAGTCCATTCTATACCCCTTTTATCCTTGGATAACTTTATGTCATAATTAAATCCGTTGCTTTGTTGAACATTCTTCCATAAAATCTTGTAAAACTAAAACCTAATTTTCACTTGATGAGAATTTGGTATCATTACTCTTTTTTTTCGGCCGGTATCCCTCTCAAAAGGCTATATTAGAAATCTCCATCGTTGTTAAAGAGTAATCACTTTTCTTTAAAGGGAAATGAAAATTGCACTGAAAAAGAAATTTTTTTTTTTGGTTATTTAAATAGACTGTTACTTCAAATGAATGTTCAGTTTATACCTAGGGCTTAGTTTTCAAAACGTGTGTCTACTGAGAACACAGCAATGAGAGTTATGACAACAGAGGCTAAAAACAACCACATAAAGAATCTGTTGAGCACATTGGCCGCCAGGACCCACTCATCTTGTAGTTCGTCTGTCTTTTCCTGCTCTTTTACACTATCGGCCAGGATTTTGACCGCGCGGGACTCGGCTGCAGGAGGTTCGGGTTTCTTTTCTTGTAAGGCTGTTTGAAGAAGAAGAGAGCGATGAAGAACCAAAATATGTTGTACTATCTGTGGGTTACATAATGGTCCCAATTTCCCTTGTCGTTTACGATTGTCTTTTTTCTTCTTCTTTTTCCTATTATTTTCCCGCATCCTACCCTAACCCTAACCCTAACCCTTCATTCCTGGCCCTTCCTTTCTTTCTCTTTCTGAGCCTTTCGTTCTTTTCATTCCTTTCATATTTTTTTATTTTCATTTTTTTTCTACCCTCCTTTAAAGTGTGTCCCAATTTCCCACGTAGTGGACGCTTATCCTTTTCCTACCTAGCACAGATATTCTAGCACTTCATTTATTTTTCCCTCTATCTTTCTGTCACATTTCTACCCTCCCATTACCTTCTATTCCTTTTCTTTCTGAGTCTTCCATTCTTTTCATTTTTTTTTTACTTTTTATTTTCAGTTATTTTCTCCCTTTCTTAAAATTGAGTCAGTTTACTCTGATTATAATTTCACCCATAAATAACTATGAGAATGGGAAATTCCTTAGACATCTAACGTGCGTTCAAAAATTAGCTTTTGTTGATTTCTACGCAAAGGATCGTCATCACTTTTCTCAGTGCTTGTGGGTAATCCCATTGGATGATTGCATTTTGGTATTAACAAGGTTAGCAATGACTTTGAAGCGTGCTCTCATACGCTTATCTTGAAAGAGCTCTTCCTTGTCAGTAGAAAAATTCAGCTGTCTGATGTCTGCCGAAAGTTCTGATCAGCCGCAAGAAACCGTTGCAGACAGAATTTCTCGGCTTACAATATCAATGCAATATCAAGCAGACAAGTGACGAGAATAAAGAAAAATATCAATTAGGCATTATTTGGTGATTCAACACCAAATTTTACGAATAAACTTCATAATGATTGGTATGGTAGACAGCAAGGAGTATTACTAATAAAATATTGGGAGTGACAGGGTTAAATTTAAAAAAAAAAAAAAAAACCTTCCATGATCTCACGTTTTCTCCATTTATTTACTGTTACGCGCACTGCCGTTTCACTTGCTTCACTCCCTCGGGATGTTCGCAAATCCTTTGGGTCGGTTTGTGTTCTAATGTGTGGTGTCTGCTCGTTCTTAGCTTTAACTTGTTCGGTTCTGTAGAATACGACTCGTGCCAGGAATCCTAATATATATTTCTAAGAACAAAACAAAAGAAAAAATGATCTCATTTCAGTATTCCTTACAGATACTTATCGTAAACTTCGAAGCCATCGGCTAACTCCAAACGGTAGCAAGAGTGCTAGCGTTCCTTGAGCTTAAGAACTACAAGAAAATAGGTTACTCGAAGTCATCCTCACCTTTATCCAATCTGGTAATGCGTGGGCCTGGTGATGAACAAACCGCAACACATGGCACATGGCAGCAAGGGCCAGCGATACTTCGATAATTGTACAGCAGTAGTATTTACCAATCAATGGAACGTTCTCCGAAACTGGCATCTTCTCCTCCACCATCAAGAAAAACACAGCTAGTGAGAGGAGTATTGTAACTCCGACTGCCATCCGCTCACCAGTGTCTGAAAATCAGTTTCACAAAAGAGAGTATAGATTAAAGTAGGAATGATATTGCTGGCTAAATGGCTCAAATAAGCTCATATTGGGGAATACATGCAGGCAGTGGTTGATGACTAGTGACGATATATGACCGGCTGACTGAATGATAGTGGTACTGACAGTCAAACAGAGAAACAGTTAGCATTAATTAGATGACATTTAATGGGAGCAGGACTGAACAATATCTGACTGACCAGTCAGTGCATTATCTGATTCAAAGACAACTAGTCACAAAGATAGGCGCACAGACAGAGACAGACAGTCTGACTGATGGAGTTACTGACTGACTAAATTACAGAGAGACAAACTGACAGACGAACTGATCAGTCGAATGACAGACAGACGGACTGACTGACTGACTGACTCCATGACTGACGGACTGACTGACTGACTCCATGACTGACGGACTGACTGACTGACTCCATGACTGACGGACTGACTGACTGACTCCATGACTGACGGACTGACTGACTGACTCCATGACTGACGGACTGACTGACTGACTCCATGACTGACGGACTGACTGACTGACTCCATGACTGACGGACTGACTGACTGACTGACT